GCAGGGAATTATGGACGCACGCGAGGTCACCCACAGGCACTTTCACCGGAACCACGCCACAACACCACGCTGCAGAGCGCGCACTGCAAAGCGAAACCATGCGCTCACCTTCGGAAAGCACGGAGGGCGGGCGGCACAGAGAAGCAAAAAGACGTCAAAAGCACATCGCGATGAAGCGGCGGCGAATGAACACTACTCACTGGTGGAAATGGATATCTCCTCAAGCGAAAACATGCAATGACCACGCATGGTTTAAGATGCACGTGGGAGACGCGCACACTTTCAGAAACCAGGTACGCCAACGCACGCGGGCAATAAGACGGACAAAACGCGTCGAAAATACATCGCGTGCAAGCAGCGCCGACTGCATACTACTCACGGTTGCAAAGGTTTCTTACAAGTTTGCACTCCAAAATCTTAACGCGTTGGAAAGCGTCCGAGCTCACCAAGAACTATCACTCCGCAGGAACAACGCAAAACAAAAGCAAAAAAAAAAAAATAAAAAAAAAAAAAATGTAGGAGACCGCTAGATAGATGAAAACGCCGTCATACTTTGTAAACAGAATTTGGAAAATAAGTAGCGCCGCCAGGTGGTCGGCGCCCAAATAGATGCGGAGGCGCGCCTAAATTGTTTAAATATTTGCTGTTTATATGACGAGACGACGTAATCTAAAATCAAATCAATTAATTTAAACAAAAAGTAAAAACAAAAAAAAAAATTAAAAACAAATGAATGAATAGTGGCGTCATCTAACGAACCTAAAGCAAGGCTCCGGTTTTCGAGCCGTTAACTGCGCAGCGCCATCTGGTTTGGATGTAAAAGACACAAAATACGCAAGTGACAATGCTACGCGAGAGTCGGATGGTTGTTTTTAGCGAATCGGGGAAGTACGCTGGCGTTTTGCTTGTTTACGTGAGCGAAGCGAACGCGAGGGGTGGCTGGACTGTCGCGACGAAGTTCCGACGAGTACACGCGTCCCTAATGGTTCAACAAAGAAGAAAACTCGAGGAGCGAACACACTTCCGCCATGTGCAAGCAACGTAAAGGCAAGGACACTCGAGAGAGGCACACAGTTTCGTTTTCGTTGGCTCTGCAGCGTCAAAGCCAGCCTTCCTTCCTTCGACGTGCAGCTTTCGTTCACCGGCATGGTCTTGGTGGATGGATTACGTCCCCACACTTGTGAGTGAGGTGAACACCTGTCCAGAGTTCCAAGTGACACCGAGCTGTTGAAAACGAGGGACCTGTTGACCAAGTGAAATTGAGGATACTGCACGACATTTCGATGTCGCTTGCTATGCATGCAGAAAATAAAAGCGCCACGAAAAATGTTGTTTTCTTCTCCTCTTTTTCTTTCAGAACGCGGCTTGTCGAAAGGGATACGTTCGTCTA